ACTGCCATTTTTGCTGATGCAATAGCTTTCATGCATGACATGTCATAACCTGTCAAAACAAGAACAGTACAGGCTAACCAGGCCAGGCCAGTAGCCATAACACACAAAAACTAGACACTTAAACTGGTACACCTAAATGAAATGCTCTTCTTCCTCCTGCACTCAGCCTGCTGAGAAAACTCTACCAGCTCACGTATTACATGTGCAGGCCCAAGTAGCATGGTGCTGATGAGTGAGGGAACCGGAGAAACAAAAAGGGAGGTGAGGAGAGTTTAGAGAAGCGGGAGGATGACTGCAGCTGGAGCTGAATAATGTAAGGTAATGTGATCTCATGTAGCCACTGTAAACAAAGGCTTGGGTTTCCACTGCACCTGGCCTGCTAACCTGGGATACTACTTGGAAAAGAGAGTGGCTATGTTACATGTTCTGTAAACTCTGGAGTCTGGAGAAAGAGCCTGCGCAACATAATTCAAATGTTTATACAGAAAAAGAAAAAGAAAACAAACCTTGACATTTACTCCAGCAAAATTCCTAATTTTGTTTATTAAATGGTCAGAAATAACAGGAATGTTTCCTTATACTTTGCAAATAATTTTTAAACTTCCAGTGACAGAGTGGGGTCGAATCTCATTCATCATTTCATTATATTTTGTAGTAGTCAGGCCATCTTGTCATTTTTAAAGTGGTCTTAAAGAATAGTTATTTTCTTTGGACATTGGCTGCTTTCCCCCCCACTCAGTCCTTATAAAAGACCGAGTAACAGAGCAATGTGTTTATTTTGTTTTGTTTATCACGCCATTGAACACTGTCATCCAAATCATTTGATCACAAAAAAAAGCACCTAATTCAAGGACTGAATCAGTGATATGTCCACACATAACAGTCAACTAAGCAATGAACTAACTAGTTTCACAGATATAAAAATAATTTTTAAAGCATCAAGGTGATTCCCAAAGAGCTAAAAAGAAGAAGTGTCAGGCGGAAAAAACTGCAGCCATGACAACAGGTCTTGTGGAGTGAAGGATCTAAATGTGAAATTTTTGGAGGACGTCAGGAGAGACGTTAGTGTCTACAGCCATCTGTAAAACAGGAGGTTCTACCATGGTTTGTGGTTGCATTTGAGCCAGTGGTGTTGAGGATTTTCTCAAAATGGACGGATTTATGAAAAAGAAAAAGTACTGGCAAAATCTGATGCACCATGCAGCACTACCTGGAAATTACAAAACAGTGGCAGCTGCTTCATTTCTCAGTCTGACAACACACTGCAAATGGAGTAAAAGCAAATAGACAAACACGCAGTGGAACACTACCCGTCATGGATTGGTTCCCCCAGAGCCCAGACCTCAAAATTACTGCAGCAGTGTGGGATCATGTTGACGGACAATGAAGAAAAAGGCAGAAACATCCAAATAATCCTTCAGGAAGCCAGGACGTATTCCCGAAGACTACTTGTATAGTGATCACAAATTTTCCTGCCGTGGGCTCAATAACGTCTTATATTATCTTATCTTTTGACCAATTCAGGCTGTTGAAAAGTGGACTCAAGTTTAAAAGTTCAGAAGTTTGCCAGTCACAACTGCATTGAAAGCCTCTGGTCAGCTGCCAGCTTCCTCCAATAACCCATAATTCACTATATATTCAGTTTATATATGTCTTACAGGCCTCGGTATTTTTAATGGCACAGAGATTTTTGCCTGGCTGCCATTGTTCTCCTTACACTCATATTTCAATAGAAAATAGACCCTTCGTTCCTATTCCACATCACCACTTTGAAACGCTCACAATTCAAGGATGCAAAGGACAAATAATACATTGCTTGCATTTGTTCAAAGAAAGTAATCAATAATCACTAGCTGGGTGTTCTTTCTTTCCCAGCTACATATTCCCACTGGAAAAGCACTTGTTCTACATTGAAACTGGTCTGCATCCTCTGAATGGATCAAAGAGTTTATTCAAGTAGTAGAGTTTAGGAAAGAATGCTCATGAATAGAGTTGATTTAGTTTTGTATTTCTTACTTATTTATGCTTTTTATTGCGTTTTAAGGTGAAGGATGTCAGTGGGGCAGTTTGAGCTCTTGTTGGCAGAGGTGAGAACACATGTGAGTAGGGAGAGAACTCATTTCATAGAGTCGATCGACCCGGAGCAGCATCTAGCTGTGTGTCTGAGGTAAAACAGCATTATTCTACCATTTCCATCTCATTGTATAGTCCCTACTGGTGCAGGTTTTGAGCTATAGCGGACTTGTTCCCAAATGCAGTCTGATTGGTCAGATGTGGATTAGAAAAATGTCACAAAAATGTATTAAGATTAGGAGAGTCTCAAAAATTACTTTTAAAGTGAGAAACTTTTTCACAGATTTTACATGTCCGGTGTGCAAAGGTCTTTACTTTTAGTTGTGGTGACATGGGTGGTAGTTACCCAACTGTAAGATCTAAGAAGTTGCACACAGTATAATATAGCAATACAAATTAGTTTATGGGTGCAGCCGGCTAACAATATTTGCTTGTGTTAACTTATAACTTGGCACTCCACCCTTTCACCAGACTATATCGCACCCAGACTTAGCTTTGTAGATTTGGGTTTACATACTATTCACTCACAACAGTCACCACTATGCTTAACTTTAACTTCAACATTACCAACTTCAATATTAGCAACATCTTTTACTCCCCAAAAGGCATCTAGGAACAGCTTCAGTAACTCTTTACAATTATTTCCATTTTGTTGTGTCACATAAAAAGCTGTTCAGTACTGACTCCGTACGGCCAGTGAAAGGACTCTTAATTAGTTTAAGCCACCTATTTGTAACAGAACTGACACCATCATTGTTTCTGTGGTTTCCTTGGTCCTTCTAAAGAGGAAGTAAAGCACTCTGCATCACAGCTTTACTGATAATGATGCTTTCAGACGCCACTACGGGGAATTCAAAAAGACACAGATGTTTGGTTAAGTATGAAAATGTTGTGTTGAAAATTTGTTTATACGTCTGCTTGACTCCATAAGCAACAAACAGCCTTAAAAGCATGTGCAGCAGTTCTGAGCTAGTGTTTACTGTACATTAACAAAGCGGTGAGATAACAGATGTTATGTGGAGGTGGATTAGCATGATGACGCACGTCTTTGATATAACTGCAAACCACTTTCCAAAGCAATTTTTTTTAATTATGAAGTGAATTTTTCCTCTTAATTCCAAGCAGAAGTCCATTTATTGTCCATTTATTTCAACTGAGGTTTGAAAAAAAAGGGCCTTGCGGATTGAATTTTTTTTTTTGCCACCACTTAAGTAATCATTAGGAGATAATGCAGCTTAAGGCAAGAATTGATTTGAAACCACTGCACAACATTAGAGTACTCAGTAATAAAGTATTACTGGCAGTGAACACTTATTAAAGAAGACTGAAAGAGAATACTAACCCCCTTTAAGATGAATCTAGTGCTACACTGAAATAAACTAATGCCTGACTGAAAGTACAACACATTTAACATCATTAAATTCACAGAAACATAACATGAGTTCTGTGATTTATTAATAATTTAGAGCTGGATTCCTCAAATTACTGAATATGGCCCATTTCCCTACATCAATAAGGAATTAAATGTTCTATTATGGAAAATACCAGGAAAAGAATAAAGTCATTATATGTTAAATGCCATTTTTCCTTTAAAAAGTCCACTCACAGGCAACGTATCTCTGACCACTCATTTTTTGCATGTTTTAATTGTACTTGTTTAACCCCTCTGAGACTTTACTACTGAACAATGTCCTCGCTCTTACTTTGAAAGGTCAGTCTGCTAAATGGTGAGTTCCAGCCTTTCATGCCCTTCTCATGTTTCCCTCCCAGGTGGTTTGTGCTTCAGTTTGCAATTGAGGTGCAAACTGGTGCACATTTCAGGTGGATCAGGATGTTGTGTCAAACATTCATTATTAGTGCACCTGCACAGAAGTTAATGAGTGAAATTTGAACTTACTATATTAGCACACAGCAGAGGCCCTGACTCAGGGTGAAGAAGACACCAGTGCAGATGCCCAGCACTTAAAGAACTATCAGTGTAATTTATGGAAAAGCTAATAGTTTTATGGCTTCAGCTGGACCAGGGATGTCAAAAGTCCACTGCACAATGCTACTGACCTGGTTATGCTAGCCATTGTCACTGTCTGAAAAGGAACACCTTCACAATCACAGCACCAATGTAGAGGTTTTTCTGAGTAGTGTGCTCTGGAAAAGTTGCAAGCTCGTGCAGCACACCTCAAGCGCCAAATATAAATGCCCACGGTGTCACTAACCAATGCAGTGACTTAACATGGTGATGAGGAAGCTAAAGAGGCTCTTGTTAAAAAAAAAAAAAAAAAAAAAAAAAAAAAAGAATACACACCCATTCTGACAGATACATGGCCTACCAAACGTTCAATCTGAACCAGAGGCAGTGAGACTCTTTGTTGATAGAGGCAAGCTACATACAAGTGGGGCTTTCTGCAAAACACAAAAACTACAGACCCCATGCTAGGTTCAGATGCTGTGATATGCTATCAAATAGGTCTACAAGCAAAAGAAGTGTTAACAGATGATACTGAGGGGCTATTTCTCACAGATATGAATCCAGGTGTGTCTTATAAGTTTGGCTTCTCTTTGAGGTAGCATTGTGTTGGAAAAGAGCTAATTATATATATTCCTAAGCTAATTGTATATTCCTTAAATTATCACATATACAAATATAGCAGTCTATCACTAATAGTACTTGCATGTATTAGTTATCTTAATTATTTATCTGTGGTACTAAATGCCATCTCAGCCCCTCCCTAATTTTTCCCCATCGGCCCTCCTCACCAGTGTGACAGGCAGCAGGATGGTGAGCAGAGCGATGTGATGCAGGACCAGCAGGAACTCCTTACGGACAAAGGAGTTTATGGTCCTCAGTGAATGCCGCTTGTAGTCCTCATGCCCTTTGATGTGGAAGCGGTAGTAGTGACTGAGGTACATGGCAAAGATGTCGTACGTCATATAGGGGACACCGTACCAGATGACAAAGTAGGTGGCCAGCCAGTGCCTGAGGAAGACAAAATAAAATTGTTATCAGTGTCTACAACTAACAGCAGAATCACCCACAGGAATGCCTCTATCGAAAATGGATGACCATGATGTTCAAATAATTGAATACTCATTATTAAGAAGTTGAGCCTGCTATCACAATGCGGGTAAAAAAAAAAAAAAAAAAAAAGACCTTTCATGAGATGCAACTCGTTTTGACCAATTGCCTATTTTACATGGTGATATGATCCCTGAAAGTTTACGCAGAGTGAGTTTTTTGACATTTTCTCCAGTGAATGATCTGAAAACACATTAAACATCCAGGGTATCAGTGTGTCTCCATTTCTCTACAACATAGACACAAAACTGAGGAAGTTTTGCCACTGAAACTATAATTTTACATGACACAGGCTATTGAAATTAAAAAAAAAAAAAGTGCTGAACAAGTACATTAATTTTACTTTTGTTTGTAACGGGTATTAAACTGATATGGCTAGATTTTAAAGTTTAAAGCTTAAGTGTGTTTTTCAGACCTGAAAATGTTATATGACTGCACAGTTTGCTTAAGAAGCTATAGAAACTGAGGTATATTTAAAAAAAAGAAAGAAAAAGTCAAATACAGACTCGTGCCTTTGCACTCTGAGAGTCTGTAATGTGGAAAATATTCAGAATATAAAAGTAAAACTTTGCTTGGCTTTATAAAATTCATCAAAAAAAAATCTTGCCTGATCCTGAGGGAGTCAGGTGGAAGGCTTTAAATGTTTTTTATGGAATGACCCGTGTATGTTTGATTTATTTATATAAAAATCATGAAAAAATCTTTACCAGAACTATAAAACCATATTAATCATTTACCAGTCTTACATTCACAGGTCACTTTGTTAGGAGCACCCATTTAGCTGCTCATTTACACAAATATCATGGCTGCAGTTCAGCACATTTATGGCTCTTTTCCACTCACACCAATTCAACTTGACTCTATCCGATATTTAAGTGATGACATATGAACCCTGTTTCTGGGACCAAACTACTCTATGTTTATTAAGGCTGTTGTGTTTTTAACATGTTTTAATGCTTTGTATCTTGTCCTATTTAATCTCAACAAGCCCCTAAAAAGGGCAGTGATCACTGTCGGCCTCTCTTGGTTTTTATTATCACTGTTCATTTTAAAGCTCAAGTTTTAAAACCTTACAATGTAAGTACAGCCCAGCCCATGCAGCAGTATATTAATGACTAACCTCGTATTATGGATGGATTATCTCAGTTGTTCTCCTGACTGAAGTTTGGTCCGTTTACAGCATCCTGCCATGCGATTGCTTTTGTCCCTAACCTTTGGGAACCTTCGCATTAACTTTTATCAAGTGGAATAAAGTCAGAGTTCATCCTCAAGTGTGTTTATACTGCATTATGCTAACCATAGCTATGTAGCTAGCCACCACGTAGCAACCCTACAAACGTCACTGCTGTTTAGTTTCCTGTCTTCATTTATGTTGGAAGTGATAGCAGAGCTGTATATTTTAATTTTTTCAGAAATCCCCAAGTCAGAACGTAGTATATTATGTTTGGGTGGAAACTAGCAAGCTAACTTCCTGCTAACTTCTAACTCCATTAAATTTCATAAATTCTGTTTTCATGGATGCCTGGATGTTAAACGTAATTACCCAGTTGAGCAGCCACACTGATCATTTTATTAAAGATGAAAGAATTTAGACCGTTTTTAACTTTCAGTGATGTCAGTGTTCGTTTGACTTTGGGACCTGAAGTGGAGTTTGGACCCGGAAACGGCTAATGACGTCAGACTTAAAGACCAGATTCGACTCAGCTCAGTTTCAGTAATTACAATTGAGTGCCACCTCAATGTGGGTGGGGTTGTTATAGAAATGCGGCGTTAACTCAGGGAGCTTGGAATCCCAGTCGAGTAGGTACCAAAAAAAAAAAAAAGTGCCCAATAACAGATACTACCACCTAAAGGAAAATCCTAGTAAGGCCGAGTAGGTGCCAGTGAAAAAGAGGCATTAGGAATTTGGTTAAGGGGAGCTGCTGAGATCCAAATGGAGTAGGAACGAAAGGTGATTTAACTGACTTTGTGGTGTAGTTATTGGTGCAATGGTGTGGGGGATATTTACTTGGAAGACTTTGGGCCCCTTAGTACCAATTGTGCACTGTTTTAACACCACAGCCCAGCTGAGTATTGCTGCTGACCATGTCCCATCCATTTACAACCACAACACACTAATTTTCCAGCAAAATCCAGGAAATCCAGCTGCTTCCAGCAAAATCAGATGCTGTGTCACAAAGCTCAAATGATCTCAAACTGGTGTCTTGAACATGCCATTGAGTTTATTGTAATCAAATGGCCTCCACAGTTTCCAGATCTGAATCCAATAGAGCACTTTTAGGATGTGGTGGAATAGTAGAGTCACATCCTAGAAGTGCATCTGACAAATCTGCAGCAACTGTGTGATGTTATCATTTCATTATGGACCAACATCTTTGAGGAACGTTTCTGCTCTATTAGGTGCACCTTGCTAATGCTGGGTTTAACCTTTACAGTGGGCAGTGAATATAGAACAGAAGGAGGCCTAGGCACTATCACAGCATTTAGTCCTAGAAAAAAAACATGTAAAAAAAAAAAAACAACAACAAAAAAAACAACAACAACAACAACAACAAGACATTTACTTTCAGTAGATTTAAATAAAAACCTGCACTTTTTTTAACCACCCTCTGTCCCGTGCAAAGCATCGGAAAGCTTTAAGACAAGCTTGTGTAAGTACAGTAAAATCAACAGCTTGGAAAGCTCCAGTAGCCTAATGAGCACTGATTACTGTGATGGTTAATTATGTGGACAGAAAGGAGTGAAGCTGCAGGGTAAAGCTGAGCTACTGACCCCTGACCTCTCACTGGCTTCTCTAGCTTTTAAGGTCAGTGGATGGAGATTAAGAACAGTAAGGCACAACAAACAGCTTTGGGAGGAAGGAAGGCTACATGAGCTGATTCTGTAATGTATGTACTTTCTGTATTAAATAACACAAAAGAAAGCACTAGTCCCCCAGACATACATAAAACAGAACTGCCTGGTCTCTTTCTTATTTATGTTATTTTTGTTCTTATGCTCTGTTTTCCTACCTGTTTATTAGCACGATTATTTAAACAGATATGGACACATACATGTTAAACTTCTACAATGGCTCTGGTTTGACGGAGCTTAGAAATTATTAACTTTGTGAGCTGATCTGAATTCAGGCCTGGATCCAAGAATTCTTGGAAGGAATCTTTACCATTCCAAGATACAAAATGTCTAATTATGCCCTGTCTTTACTCATTTTTAGAGTGGTGGTCATCTACAGCCTTGGTGGCGGTATGCAGGACTGCTCAGACTGTTTCAGCAATAACAACAAGAAAAGCACTGGCCTTCTCATTTGCACCACTAAATGAAGCTTTGTTTATTATAGATTACAACAAAGAAATGGCTTTCACGGCAGCCCTATAGCTCAGTGCATTCCTAATTTTGTTTGTCTCTCAAATATAAAGTATAGAAAATATTGTTAAATGAGGGAAAAAGCACAAGTAATTAGATACACAGTGTTTGCCAGATCATATTAACCACTTTATTTGGAGCTAATGTTAGAGTCTGGCGAATCAGGTGCGTTTGAGCTACTTTAGTGGTTCTACTGCTGTTTATACAGTGAACACCACCATTTCTGCAACTTAACCACTAAAGGCTAAAAGAAGGGACAGGTTGCGATGGAGAATTAGAGTATTTGTGGGTCTAACTCTGGAGTATAAGCCCCCGGGTTAAGCACACGTCACAGGACAGCAGAACTGAGCAGCGTTGTGCAGGAATTAAGCTCTGTGGGTGATTTGGAGTGGGGGGGGCGCAAGAGATTAGCAGTCTGAAACTGGGACTGCCAGGGTCTGGTCGCTGACTCAGTGAAGGATTAATAGGCTGGCATTAACCTAGCGTCACACTTTCCTCAGCTGCACAGAGTGGCCAGTGCTAACGCTAACAGTAACTCATTGCCAGCTGGCTGATGTGGAGGCAGCATGAAAGCAGCTGGTTCAATAAGAGAAACGGGCAGACTGCTGCCCAAGGAAAGATACTGACCTATCAATCACAAAGGAAGTTGGTCTGAAAATCTTTAACATTACATGACTGCTTGCATCATATTCAGCAGCAGGGGGAGTGTTTCATGCTATAATCGCAGCGTAGGTACCAGATCTTCGGATTTATAACCAATTCCCAATAAAGTAAAACCATTTAAATATGTGCTGATGAGGCTCTGGTGCAACAACCCCTCCGACATCACAGATTAGCGCATTTAGTCTTCAGATGCTTTGCTGAATGAGCAGAGCCGTTAAAGGTAAGAGCTATCACTCAGATGGGATGCAACAAAAAGTCCTCTTAACATTTCTGCTTAACCCTCAGGACAGCAATGCTGCTTCTATTTCCTGGATGACAAGCTTGCAGTTTCCCAGTTACAATAAAACACCCAAATAATGGACTTTATATCTTTGACGTAAAAACGGGAAGAAGAAATCTCAGCAGCTAAGGTTATGTTAATGATAGGATGTTGTATCGCTAACAGTCAAGTGAGCAGGCAGCCACAGATTAACTAAAAACGGCTGCTAAAAAACAACAAAAACTTAAAAGCACCTATAAGTTAAGTGGGCCAAAAGGAAAAATACTACCTAATACAATCTAGAATTGACAGGACAAGGAACAGTAACCGCAGGAGAAGAGGAGACAAACAGGTCTCTGAATAAAGCGAGGAGGAGCGTGTCGATCAATTTATTTTAATAGTGGAGTATGCAAGTTCACACTTTAGACTGTTTGTGTGTGTGAAGAACGTGAAGAATTAACAGCACGAATGTTATGTCAAAGACTTCAGCGAACTGTGTTAGTGATTATTCGTATTTTCACCTCACAAGCACGCCGAGATTGTGTAGCTTCTAAGACAGATTAAGCAACTTTGTTCACTGTTAGCAGGCTGTGACTAACATTTATGTTTGAGTCAGTGAATCAAAATTGAGGCCCGAGTCTTTGGAATAACAGATCCCACCAAAGGGAGGCCCAGGAAGCATAGCTGCTGCGTTCATGTGTTACCAGTGATAACCAATGTTTCACTAAAGGGGTTATTTACATGAAGTCTCACCTGTCATTAATGACGTTGCCGCAGCACGATGACACGACAACAGCTCCTGCTGTGGTTGCCATGGCAGCATGGATAGAGGACACCAGCCTGCAAAAAGGGAGAACATCGTCACTTATGCACTGGATGGCTGTAACGTGTACCGGTAATAGAAACTTCAGTGAAGCTGATAAAAGTAATATATGTTCAGATATTTATTGTCCCGATTGTGTCTTTAGAAATCTGTTTAATCTCAATATGGCCAGCATCGCAGAAGGAAAACAAAACTTCTTTGAAGTATCTTAATGTTGTTCTGCTGGCCCTGTTAGTCCAAAACTTTAATTCCTTGGTTTATGATCAACATAGCCATCAGTTCAGCTGCACTTTGTTTTTAGCACTAATAGGCAATTGTTAACCTGCCAATATATTAACACACAGCTGAGCCCAGGGGTTTTTGTGAGTCACCAGGGGCCTTTGGGGTTGATGAAGCACAAGTGAGGTCTGCATATAGTTTATGCATGACTACATTACGAGGGTTATGCATTATCCTGTTGGTGCTAGCCAAAATATTTTTATTACATTTTTGGTGAGGTTTCATCCCTTGCCCAGAAGGAGGACCACCAGAACAATTGTGTACACACAGGAAGCTTTCTAGCTGACGGTTAGTTGCTGGCGGACCTTCCAGGCTCCAGTTTTCTGTGTAACCCTGTAACCCCAACTTGCTGTGAACTGCTTACTTAGTGGACCCTCCTTGACCCCAGAAATACACCAGGCCTGCATCAAAGCCAGAGATCATCACATCCACTCAAGCCAAGCCAATGCTTGCAACTTCACACGGCGGTGTGTTTCAGAAGGGCATTCATGACACTTAAATTGGCACTGTGTTTGTCTTTAACAAAACCCATGTCAAGCTGCAGAGCAGGTAAGGAGGTCAGGAAGTCAGACACAGCCATAGTTTTTCAAACAAAACCCTTGTACAGACACAATGCCAAAGATACTGCCTGATATGTCTAATAACAGTTTCATAACAGCAGATATGGTGATAGTTCTGATCTTAAACAGCCAATCAACAGGTGACAGTTTCACATGTGTGGCAGCAGACATATCTATATGTTATCATAGCAAAGATACATGGAAGTATGCTTATGGAATTTCTTCACCAACTATTGGATAAGGTGTATTACTATAGCAACTGTTCAGTCCTGTTGGCTACAGAGCTTGATTGTGTCAGCCGTCTGGATTGAGCCACTAATGAAGCTACAAAGCAGCAGTGTCATTAAGTCAAAACCTACATGGATAAAAAGTTTCAAAAACTTATTCTGGGGAAATTTCCGCATACTTGTGAAATGGTTTTGAGATTTAATTGGTTACCACTGAAAATGAAGTTATGTCTCGCCCGGGGCTCAACACTAATTACCTAAAGAACTGCCCAGAGGTGCTGCCAAGATGACTGCCTAGTGCCAAGACTTGTTTCTATACGCACTTTGCTTAGAAGATTACACCAGTGTAATACAAAAGTTAACATTTGTGTTACTACACTCCCTGTTATTATCATCATCTAGTTTTAAAGTTTGATCTTTGCTACAATTATGAATAAACTCAAAATAAAAAAGGCAGGCGTTGGCTTAGTTTTTTGTGATGCCATGTGGGAAATTATTGGGTCAAATAAAATTCACTCAGATCTGAGCTGGTAAAACTGAATGCTACAAGAAAATTTAACAAATTACTTCAATCCAAGCCAAGTCAAATTATGCGTGTTTTCAATGTGATTACGGTAATAGCTCTAGGACAGGGCAAAGCCCAACAAATACAGGTCAGTTTTACACAAGTGCTGCTTCAGGTGAGCCGCTTAAGATCAGTGTACCGTGATGGGATTAGCAGTACTTGGCTTCAACTTTCCTCATCTATAAACAGACCTGTGACATAGGAGAACTTGGTACATCTTTATTTGAAGTGTCACTTGGAGTGGAGTGGAGAAAGGCATGCACAACATTCACCGGCCTCGCACCTATGAAACAAGTAACTCCTACACTGAGATCTGACTTGTGTTTTATAATTATTTGCTTACGTTTATAGCAACTTCATTACAAAATTATTTTTAATAAATAGTGGCTGTGATGTTGTGATCTTGACGAGTGAACAATCACAGAGAAAGTGATTTTTTTCTCTTGGTTCAACAGATTTATTTTGTCCAATTTAAACAGAAAGCTGGATTATTTCACCAATTAAATTTTTGTGTGTGGGTTGTTGTTGTTTTTTTTTTTTCAAACTATGAATGACTTTTGCTCAGAGAAGCTCGTTCCCTGGATGCTCTCCAACTTGGCAGCACTGACACTAAGCTGCTTTGAAATGACAAAACATGTCCTTTATTCCCCAGCAGTCACTGCGGCCATGACAGACAGCCGCCCATCTAACACAGCGTATTGTTGACTGATTTTCCCAATGGGTCTGTTTTACATCTCCACCTACTCATCAGGAGACAAACACATACTACCAGGCTATGTGTGTTTTGTCTGCCTATGTTTTCCCCCCACCACCCAACAGACGGTATGTACACAGGAAACACATGAACTGTAACTTGTTACAGTTACATAACCCATGTTATGAGTTTTCCAGCTGATTAAATCATGTATTTACAGCAGGTGCAAACAATACGAGACGCAAAAGTCCAAATAAATAAATAATAACGCAGCTAAATAAGGGAAAAAAGAACCTGAGATGGTGTGCATGTAGGGCTGAGCGATATGGCCTAAAATTCATATCGCGGTATATTTGAAGCACGTGCGGTAACGATATATTGTTTTCTTCTGTATAACATATTTTCCACACTATAAGGCACACTTAAAATCCTTTAATTTTCTCAAAAATCGAGAGTGCGCCCTATGTATGAATTCTGGTTGTGCTTACTGACCTCGAACCGATTTTGGCGTGCAGAAATCTGTTAAAAAATGTCAGAGCATTACGGCTGCCATAGTGAGGAGCTTTGCGGAGTAATCTGGGTCCAAAACTCAGTCTGCTTCAGGTCCCAAAGTCAAATGAACACAAAGAGTTAAAAACGGTCTAAATTCTTTCTTTAATAAAATGATCAGCGTTGCTGCTTTACCAGGTGTAACAATTAAGTTTAACATCCATGCATCCATGAAAACAGAATTTATTAAATTTAACGGAGTTAGAAGTTAACAGGAGGTTAGCTCGCTAGTTTACACCTAAACATGACATACCATGTTCTGACAGAGAGATTTTTGAAACTAAGTAAAACGTACAGCTCTGCTACCACTTCCAACATAAATGAAGACAGGAAACTAAACAGCAGTGGCGTTTGCAGGGTTACTGAAGTTGGACTACCTGGTATGTAATGTTGTGCTACGTGATTGCTAGCGACACAGCTATGTTAGCATAACATTAGCACAGTGAAGCTGGAGGATGAACGCCAACTTTTTTCCACTCGATAAAAGTTATTGTGAGGGATTCTGGTGGTTAGGGACAAATGCAATCGCACAGCAGGATGCTATACACGGGGCAAACTTCAGTCAGGAGAACAACTGAGATTATTCACCCACAATACAAGGTTAGTTATTAATATACTGCAACAATATGGGAATAGAACAGCTGCGAGTAGGGCTGCTCAATTAATCTAATTTTAATCACGATTACGATCTGGGCTTTCAACGATCATTAAAAATGACTGAGCCGATTATTAGCACCTCCCTCGTGCTTTACTCTCGCACTGCTCCGTGTGGCAAATCGAGCGCACCTCTCTGCATTTCGAACACCCGTCACAACAATTAAGAGGACCCGAGGGAAGCTCGGAAAGCTAAGCAGAAGTTATTTGGAGAGGAGAGTGACTGCTATTGGTTGAAAGGAGAGGTAAAAAAAAACTTCAGTGGTGTGGAAACATTATGGGTTCGCCGGAGTCAGACGTGGATCAAGTAGACATAGTGTGTAAACTTTGCTATGGTGTCGTAGCTGCACCACAGAGCAACACTGCAAAGTTCACTAAACATAGATGTTTACATTTTTCATTTATTTCTTATATTGCAAACATTTGCACTGTTATCAGTATTTGCACACTATTTTATATTATTTTTTAAAGTCATTATTCAATACATTGTTATTGTTAACCCTTTAAAGCCGGACAGAGCAGCACACTCCGTTTTGCGTAACTTTTTTAAAATCCCTGTAGAACCGGAACCGTGTAAGCTAGCGCAATAATTTGTTTTGCATATGAAACCGGAGGAGTTGTACTTACATCTTATGCCATCAGCTTGTCCTTGGTCACGGTTTCCTTCCACATAAAGCTTTGCAAAAATTGCATAAAAGGGCTTTCAGGAACAAAAACATAATATTCCAGAAACACGCTTTGCCGATCTGACCAGCTGTTCATAACACTTCCCACATTGAAAAAAACTTCAACACGAACTATCGCATGTCCGCCATTTCCTGCCCAAAACCAGAAGTGACGTCATTTTCGCAGAAAATGTAGTTTTTTTACTTGTAGGCCTTAAAAGCCTATACTGGTGTTTTTATAAGTCATGTTTGACTCTTCTGAATAGTTTCTGTGATGCTTAGAACTCGAATTGCACTGCTGGAAATAGTTTATTTTGATGCACATGCTGTTTTCTTTGCAAATTTGCATCACAGGATTGTTTTTCGTTTTTCCTGCAGTATATAAAAATTGCTGTATCTCCAAAATAAAACGATGAAGACACTCAAAATAAATTTCCTGTTGTTGTAAACAATTTTTTTGGTATTTAAAGTTTTGAGGGATAAACCTCTTAAATTTTTCCAAGTAGAAATATATGTAAAAAAAACAAAAACGATTTTTAATTTTTTTGTAGTTTATGCGCATGTGAAAATGTACTTAAGGAAAAAGAACATTTTACTATAATTTTATTTTTTTATTTTTGTTTATTTATGGTTTTAATATTATTAAAGTATCCTTTACATCATTGCGAAAATTAGTAACACTGAAATACTGTTGAACTGCACTTTTATTTGACACCCAGTTGTTGAAATCGTCTCTAACTGGACCTCCTTAAATTGAATATCTTGTGAAGCTACAAGTGGGATAATTACTTAGCCCTTGTAAATAATAGATGAGAGGCTTGAGC